CTGGGTATACATGTATGTCACTGTTCTATCATTGTCTTCTCTGTGTCTGTCACTGTGTCCTCTGTCCTTGTGTTTTGTTACTGTGTCTCTAAGCCTAACACTATGTTTGCCCATCATTGTGTCCCGGTCTCTGTCACTGTGTCTATTACAGTGTGTCTCTGTCACTGGCTTCTGTGGGTCTGTTTATGTCTCAGACACTCTGGGTCTGCCTATATCTGTCCCTGTGTGTCACCGTGTCTGTCCCCCTATGTGTCACCATCTACCCAGGTGTCACCGTGTGTGTTACTCACCACCCAGGCCACAGGTGGGCGTGTCGGGCCCACTGGTGCCCAGAGCTGGGGCCCAGCCCATCCCACCCTCACTCTGCCGTGGGCCAGGCTGGGCGCCTGTTTGCAATGACTGCCCCAGGTAAACACCAAGATCCGGAACCCAAGGGCCACCTCCCTCACCTCCACTCCCTGCCCCTTAGCCTGCCCTGGACTCGGCTGGACCAGAGCTGCACAGGCGGTGCCCCTAAACTGGAGATGTGCCCTGACCCTCCCCCCGCCACGGTCACCAGCCTTCGCAAGCCCCCAGCCTTGGCCCTGCCTGCCGGCTTCTCTCTCCTCTGTCCCTCTCTGGATGTCTGCTGGCCTCTCTGCTTCTTTCTGTCCCTCCTTCCTCTCAACTGGGTTTCTCTGTGGCTCTGCCTTTCTTGGAAATGACCCGTGTCTTCCTTCTGTCACTGCCCCTCTACCTCTGACTTTTTCTGTCTTTTCTCAGCGAAGTTTGATTTCTCTGCTTTCCTGATCTGTCTCCATTTGAGCCAGTCTTGGTTTCTAACTCGGCGTCGCAGTCGGCCAGTCTCTTTCTGTTTGTCTCTCGCACTTTGTAAGTTTCTCTCTCGCCCTTCTGTCCCTGTGTCCCTCTCAGCTCGAGCCTCTCAGTCTTGGTCACTATCTCTGTGGGTCTCTGAGCCCCCAAGCCCCACAGGAGCAGACCTCTGCCATATCAGGGTCCTTAGGGAAGTGTGTGGCCCCCAGCCTCCTACCCCAGCCCACTGGTGTGTGTGTGCGTGTGTGTGTGCGTGTGTGTATTTAAAGGTATATGTACATATTATTTATATCTGTACCCGGGGGCAGGAGGGGCAGACACTGGGGCCTTTGTGTAGCTGCTGCCCGCCGCCTGCCCGCCCGCCACTCCTCTCCCTTCGTCCCTGCCGCCCGCCCGCCGCCTCTACTCCCCCCTCACAGAAAGGTTCCTGTGAGGCCTGCCAGCTTCCTCTGCCTGAGGTGTGAGTGGGCACGCCACAGGGCAAGGCGGGCAGGGGGGCCTGGGGAATTTTTCCAGCTCCAGGGAAGGTTTCCGGGTTGAGAGGGTTCTGGAAGGAATAGGACTTCTCAGCTGAGCTGCTGTCTGTCTGTCTGTGTCTGCTGTCCCTGGGCGTCCCCGGGTCCTTACCTGGCTTCTCCCTAGGAGTCTGTCCATCCATCTAATGTCGTTCTGACTCTTTCTCTGTCGATTTGGGTCTTATTCACTCATGCACACACTGTCATTGGGCATCTGTACTAGGCCCTCTGTTGAGCCCTGGACACAGAGATGAACAGGATGCTGTCCATCCCAGCTGATTCCTTGCTTTTTCTGTCTCATTTGCTTCATCCCTTCCCTCAGTGCTTGAAACCCTCTACTTGTTCCCATTAAAACTAAATCCACAGTCCTTACCATGGCAGACAGGGCCCCCAACGCTCCCTACCCTACTATCCTTCTGACCTCAATCTTATGACTCTCTCTCATGGCATAGCTGCACTCGTCACCTTGCTTCTGGAATGAACCAAGCTGGCTCCCACCTCAGGGCCTTTGCATGTTCTGCTATCTCCCTAGATTGCCCGTGGCTCGCTCACTCACCTCCCTTAGTTTTTAGTTTCATCTCAGTTTTACCTCCCTCTTTTTTTTTTTTTTTTTTTTTTTTTTTTTTTTTTTTTGGTCCGGGCCACGTGGCTCATGGGATCTTAGTTCCCCGACCAGGGATCGAACCCACCCCCCTGGCAGTGAGAGCATGGAGTGCTGACCTCTGGACCGCCAGGGAATTCCCCCTACCTCCCTCTTTAAAACACCAGTCTCCATCATTCTCTGTCTCCTTTCCCTGGTTTATTTTTTCTTAGGATTTACCGCCATGGCTGTCACATTTTATGGGTCTGTATCTCCCACCTGAATGTCAGCTCCATGAGAAAAGGGGCTGCATTCTGTTCCCTGCTGTATCCACAGCACCTACTGCAGGGCTTGTCACACAGTGGATGCTGAATAAACATTTGTTGAAAGAAAGGAGTCCATTAATTTATCCATCCTTTAAACTTGCCAGTGCGGGGCAATGCTGGGGACACAGTGGTGACTGAGACAGCCTTGGCCCTGCCCTTATGGGGCTCACAGTCCAGTCCCCAGACAATAATGAGTTAGAATGCTCAGGGCTGGGATAGGGGAGTGGGACCCCAGAAATGGCACCTGACACAGACTGAGGGTCAAGGAAGGCTTCCTGGAGGAGAGGTCAGCTGAGCTGAGCACTGGAGGGTGAGCAGTGAGCCAGGTCCGGTCATGGGGACCAAGTGACTAAGACAGACCCAGCCCTGCCCTTCTTCACAGAGCTCTGTTCTCCCCCTCGGTCTCATAGAACTTTTGAGTCTGAAGATGTCTTAACTCTCTAGTTCAAACCTGTACCTTTTCCTGATTTCACAGCCTCCCGCCTTCCCTCCCTCTCTCCGCATCTCAGTCTCTCTTCTCTCTCCTTCTGTCTCTATTGTTGGCATTTCCTCAGTGTACCTCAGCCTCTCTTAACCCATCTGGATATTTCTCTAATTTTCCTTTCTGAACGTTTGTCTCTCTCTGTTTCTACCTCATCTCCCTCATCTCCGAGCGAGCTCCTCTCTCTCTGGGTCTCTATCTTCTCTCTCTCAGTGAGCTGGTCTCTTTACATCTCCCTCCCCACCACTGTCGTCTCCATCTTTCCCTGGGTCTCTCTCTGTGTCTCTGTCTCTCCTTTCATGAAGCCTCTTCACCTACTCACTGATCCCCCAGATCAATCCAGAACCCCTCCACTCTGGCCCCAGCCTGGCACTGAATGAAGAGGGGCTGATCCAGGCCCCTACACCCACACAGTTCAGGCCGCCTGCTCTGTTAATAGTTAACCCAACCTCTATCTAGAATACACACCAGCCAGGCTGGGGGTGACTCCCCTGGCCCCTACCCACCCACCAGCTGTTCTTAAAGGACCAGGTGTCCTCCACAGCTCTTTAGCCCCCACTGGGGCACAGCGCCCCCGTGTCTGGAGGCCTCTGGCTCTGAGGATGGGGGAGGGGGAGCTACCCAGTACTTGGGTCCGCAGAGCTGGGTCAGGAGAGGCCACAAGATTGCCCAGGAGGGGTGCCCAGGCATGGGGCTCCATCCAGCGTCTCCCTTGCTCCTGGCTTATCGCCTGGTATATTTAATCAGGGGTGGTTTTCCCAGCCCTGCCCAGAGCCCAGGCTGGCAGTGCCAGGGGTGACAGAACACCTGAGACCCGGTGGCTGGGGGAGGGGACTCCTCAGTCCGAGAACTGAGGGTCCTCCAGATGTGGAGGACCAAGCCCTAGAGTCCCTAATATTTGGGAGTTGGGACATGGGGGTCTGCGGGATGTGTGGGAGGGACACCTGGATAACCAAGATGGGTCAGGACGTTAAGGTCTTCCAGATTTAGGTGATATAACATCTGGGTTCCCGAGACCTGGAGCAATCTAGGGTCTCACAGCCGTGTGACAGGGCTGTGCGGTGGCAGGACACACTGTCATTCCCCCTCTCTCTGTCCATCCGTTGGCCTTTGCGCCCGGCTTTGCCCCCTTCACGAAATCTCCACCTCAGGGTCGCGGGGGGAGGCCGCTGCCTCTTGGGGCCTCCCCCTCCCCTTAACCCCTGTTTTGCCGCAGCCCGCTCAGGCCCCGCCCTCTGACGCCAGCGAGCAGGAAGTCCTGGTTAATAATCAGCCCGCCGGGACAGGTGCGGGACAAGGCCGCGCACATCAGAGGCGACCGCGGCGGGGAGGGCCTTTTACCCGGCCAGTCACGGTGTCTTAGGGCGGCCGCCGTTGAGGCTGGTCTCCAGAGATGGGCGCGCAGTTCAGGGCACCACCAGAGGCGAGAAGCAGTCACCTTGTTTCCAGGGAACCTGTTAGTGTACCTCATGAGGTAAATTTCCTCAGGCAGCCCCTCTAGCAATCTGGCCTAATTCTCTCCCTGCCTAGCAAGAACTCGCGACCCGTCCCTTCTGGGAAGCCTCCGGATGCCCCTTGACCCTCCCCCTCGGTGGCACTGAGTCCTCCACCTTCGGGGGAGATACAGGGGATGGGCCAGAGGGGAAGGCTAGTTCCAGAGCTCGGCTGTGGCTCCCTCGCAAGAGCCATCCCCTCTCTGAGCCTTAGTTCTGTCATCTGGAAAACGGGCTGATGGCTAGAACGCTTGACTAGTTGGCCAGCATTTATAAAAACAGCCGGGGGGCCCACCTGAGTGAAGGGCGCCACCTGGAGGCTACAAGGCAACGTCCTCTCCCCTGCAGGATCAGTTCGGTCCCAAAGGGGGCGCAGCATCTCACGCAACTAAGGGACCAAGAAGGAAAAAACCCATCTTTCGGTTTATTGAAGGAGGGAGAGGGGGTAGGGGAGGGGGGCAATAAAATGCTTTTGCTTCGTTTATAAAGAGCGAGATTTCAGGAGGCCCCTTCTCAAGGAGGGGCGGGGACACCTCTCCTCCAACTACAAGCAGCAGCAAAGCCAAGCCAAGGAGGGGAGAGGGAAACCGGAGGGGTCAAGGGACCCCAAACACCCCCTCGGACAGAAGCCACAAGTTTTCTCCCCCCACCCTCAATACATCTACCCCAGGGGACCCATCTGGGATAAGGAGGGGACCCATCTGGGATAAGGAGGGGACCCATCTGGGATAAGGAAGGGGGTATGTACACAGGCGGGGGAGGCACTGGGCTGGGTGGGAATAATTTATCCACAGCAGCGGTGGGTGGCAGGGGAGGGCGGATGGGCAGTAGGCTGGTGGCAGTGGTGGCCTAGGGGTCCCGTTCTTTCTTAACCTTGATGTCTCCAGCAAGGATGGTGGCGATCTCGCCTTGCATGAAGGCCCAGGGGACAGAGGAGCCCACTAGCGGGCACTTGTCTCCACTGGGGCAGTACACCTCCCCAGCAGGACCCTGCGCCTTGATGAACTCCCGTGAGCAGGGAAAGCAAAACTTGTGTCCGGGCACTGAGGGGCACTGGACGAAGTGGGTATCTTCCAGCCGCTCCCGGCACAGGGTACAGCACAGGGGAGCCCCAGGGGTCGCCCCGGTGCCGCTACCACCCCCGCTAACAGCTTCCGCCCCTGCTGTGGGGCTAACTTCTGCCTCACCGTTTCGGGCCACCAGACGATGCTGGGCTGGAGGCTGGGCCGCAGAGGAGGCTGCGGGGCTGGCGCCCCCTGCGCGCACAGGGCCCCCACCCCCTGCAGGGTCCTTGGGGGAGTGGCCAAGGGCCTCGGCCACGTTCTTCAGGGCGGCGATGGGCGAGGGCACAGCAGGGGTATCAGCGGAGAACGGGCCACCGGGTGCCACCCAGTGCCGCTGCTGCTGCTCCTCGGTGGTCATCTTCCCAGATGCCTCGCCCTCGGGCTCAGGGGACGCCTTGCGACGGCGCGGCGTGGGGGCCAGATTCCGGGATGGGGCTCGTGGGGGTGGGCCACAAAGAGCTGCAGGGGCTGGCTCTGGATACTGCTGGGGCAGGGCCTCGGCGGGAGCTGGCTCGCGGAAGGTGCGGACACCGTCGGTTAGCAGCTCCCCCAGCTGGCGCCACTCCCCTGAGCCGTGTCGGCGTTCATACTCGAGGTACTTGAAGCCTGATGAGGCCAGTGCCTTGCCCGGCTCCCGCAGAGCATCATGAAACATCTGGCGAGCCACGGCCAGGACTCCAGCATACACGTTGCCAGAACCACAGGGGTATTCGGTGAAGAGCTTCAGCTCGAACTCGTAGCCTGGCGGGCGGGCAGCAGCATCGAAGGCGAACACCCGTCCCACCAGCCCGTGATCCTTCTTGAAGCGGACATTGAAAGGGGCGCAGGCAGACAGCGCCAGCAGCTGTTCCCGCACGGCTTTGGGGCGCCCATGCCATTCCTCTGCCCGGCCCCTCATGGCCTCGTTCAGTTCTGCCAGACAGTCCGCATTCCTCTGCTGCTTCTCCTTCTCGAAATCGGAGCCGAAGGCTGGACGGGCAGGACTCAAGCCGGGTGCCAGCGTCAGACCTCGGCTTCCCAGGCCAGACACCGCAGCTGCCAGCAGCCCGGGGGGCACCAAGCCGGGCATGGAGCCAAGCAGGGCCCTTCGCGCCCCCTCCGCCACAGCCTCCTCGCGGCCCAGTCCATTGGCCAGGCGGGACCCCAGGGTGTACTCCAGGGCGGGCGAGGGCAAGGGGAGGCGGCCCGACGATGTGGCCCTGTCATAGCGGTCCTGGCCTGAGACAGCGCCGCCTGTCCCCGACGGCTGGGGCTGGGCCTGTGGAGGCGGCAACTGAGGCCCCTGTGCAGTGGCGGCTGCCAGGTCCTTAGTGGCCGGGTGCTTGAGGGCCGGGGGCCCCGGCGAGCGGCCCTCGGGGAGCACGTGGCTTCGCTTGAGCTGCCGGGCGGCATCGATGAGCAGCTCGATGCGATCCGCGCCCTCGAAGTTCACGCAGCCGCGGCACACGGCCTCACTGAAGTCCCACACCATGGCCCACGGCATCTTGGGCAGGTCGCACAGGTAGCACCACTGGCGGCGGGAAGCCTGCACGGACGCCATAGCCCCCGCACGCGCGCCTCCGAGTCCCCGCGTTCCACCCGCCGCCGACGTTCGATCCGCGCCGCCAACGTTCGATTCGTGTCCCCGGGACCGCGCGAGCCACGATCGGGCCTCTGGCTCGGCCTCCCCGCGGATCCAGGCCCGGCCCCCCTTCCCCGCCCCCTGGGCCCTAAGCCTTTTTCCTCACTCCCGCCTCCTCAAAGGCAGGCAGAGGCACGTCGGCGCTCCCTCCGGGTCCGAGCTCCGGGGCGCGGCGCACAGCTCGGGCCCCGCGATAGGCCGCGGGCGCCGCCCGGCCACGGAACCCCGCCGCCGCCGCCGCCGCCGCCGCCGCCGCCTCCACCTCCTTCTGCCCCAGAGGCCGCTACGCAGGGAAAGTTACATAACGCGCCGGCAAAGCCTTCTGGGAAACGTAGTCCGTCCGGGGCCGTTTCTTAAAGGGGACCGCCGGCTGCCGGAGGGTAGGGGCTCACCGCCTCTCCGCTGCGCAACCTTTACCCCTCCTCGCCGTGGGGCAGGGAGTTTGACTGGCTCCAAGCAGCTCGAGCAAAAGGGTTGGGGGCGGGGATGTGATACGAATGGTGAGAGCCACCACGGATTCAGAAAGTGTAGGGAGTGGACAGGCTTCCGAGCGGCCAGTCTCTGCTTCGACTTGCAGCTTTAGACAAGTCTTGCCTTCTCTGAGGCTCAGTTCCCCGCCCTTCAGAGGTGGGCCAATGACCGGTTACGAAGGCAGCAGCTCCTGGGGCGGGGCGGAGGGGCCTTAATTGGACGTTTTCGGGGTGGGGGGAAGGGAAGCTGGCAATTTAGTGTTGGGCAGGACCGTCCACTTGGCACTTCGTCTTGCCCAGGATCTTGGATGTAAGCCTCTGACTGGGGCCAACAAAAGCCGGAGAAAGGAGAGGACTGACGGTCTCAGCCTCAGTTGCTTTATCTGCTAAAAGGAGTGGTCGAACGCCCCTCTGTTCCAGCTCTGCGGGCGCGCTCTGGTCTCCAAGGGGTTACACTGTCAGTTTCTCCGCCCCCCCACCCCAACTTCACTGCAACTCCCAAAATGCTCTACGGGGCGAACAAACTGACGCACTTCCGCTGTCTAGGAGGTTGGGGGAGGCCTTCCCGATTCCCGCTGGCTGTCCATACCCCCCACCCCCGCCTCAATTTCTGGGGGATCTTTTCGAGCACCGGGTGAGAGGGTCCTCACACCCTCTAGGGCTCACCGGTTTGGGGGGCGGAAAGGAGGCCAGAGATGGCAACATAGTTTCTGGGGAGAGCGAGAGCCAGACCACCTTTCTCCAACCTTGGGTGCTTACTACCTGATAGGCCCAAGCAGGCTTTGGCGACCCCCATGTTTTTTTCTTCCTGGCGATGGAACACTGCAGGGCAGGGTTGGAGAGGGGGCATGTGGAGGAGAGACACGTCTCCAGCTTCTAACCCACATCAGCCTCTTCCTCTCTCTAGGCCTGGGTCTGTGTTAAGCGCTCAAAAATATTTGAATGACTTGCCAGGGTTGCATTCGTTAGTAGTTTTCAAACTAATCACGGAATGCCTGCCCCCACTCTCCCTCATCCCACTGCAACCATAGCAGGTCTGATTTTATGTTACCCAAATTTCAGTCTCAGCTTCACCATTTTGTTTACCACCTGTATTATTAACATTTCTTGAAGTTGACTCCTGTGAATAAAACACTATTTACTTTTGCCTCATCCTAAGCAGTATTATGTGCATGATCATGGGTTTTATGTACTAGGTACATTTTTACAAAATAAAACTACATACACATATAACCATAGAAGTTAAAAAGGCCATCCACATATCGCCTAAAATTGTCTTTGGGCCATTCTTTAGTAAACAGTAGTTGGAGTCAGGAGTTCTGGCCAGAGGCTGGCTTCAGGTGGACTGGATTGGCCCCTGACAAATTTAGGGCAAGTCCCTAAACTTCTCAGGAAAAAATGGAGGCCCCCTAAAATCTGCTTTTCATTGGGTACCTTCAGGTTAAAATGCAAACATGCAAATAAATGCTTAGCATGGCACCTGGCCCAGAAAAGGAGCACCATAAATGAAAGTTGTTTTTAAGCTCCCATTACTTAAAAGATTCAACCTTTCTTCTGTGTTGGGCAATGCTGAGGACACAGCAGTGACTAAGACGGGCTCAGGCCTTGCCCTGACAAGGCTCATCCTGGTGATGGAGGGACATTCAATTTAAATTTACTCAAATGATTACTTAACTGCCTTTCTTTCACAACTGCTGGGGGAAAGGGGGTGGTCAGGAAAGGCTTTCCTGAGGAGGTGATATTTGAGCTGTGACCTGAAGGATGAAGAGAATGTAGTTGTAGGCAGCAAAGACACCTAAATCTTTATGCCCGTATTACAGATGAGGACAGTGGGGCCCGTAGTTACACAGCTGGCCAGGGCAGCACCAGGGGTTGAGCCAGGTCTGAGTCCAGGGTGATGGCTATTAGCTACTTTGCTACCAGGCTCTGCAGCCAGTTTGGGAGTAAAAAAGAGAACCAGCTCCTCCCGTCACGAAACTATACGGGAAGCAGGCTTTAAATAGATAAGGACATGTGTTCATTTAGTGACCACAGGATGCTGAGAGAGAATCTAAGAAGCAGACCCACCCTAGCCTGGGGGAAGGAATCCAGGATGTCCTCCCAGAGATGACATTTAGGGTGGTATCCGAAGGATGAAAAAGTAGGAGTAAGATTTGAACACAGGACTTGATGGCTTTAAGAAAAAAAAAAAAGTCTGGAAAACCACCAGCCTCTAAAACTTCAAGGGGGTGTCACCTGCCCATGGAGGGATGAGGCAGGTGTAGGCGTTGGAACTTCAGGCCTGTCTCAGACAGAGCCCCAAGTAATTATATTAAAAATAAGTTTATTGATATCTTGTCACCACTGGGGAGCACAGAGGGGGTTGAGCTCTGGAGGTCAGAGACTGCAACGGGAGGCAGAAGGCTCAACCTACACCAGTGAAAACTCCACCCACCCCTAGGGTACAGACTGCAATAGCCTCTTCATCCATATTCTGACTTGTCTTGAAACTCCCACCCCCTCCAAAGTCTGGGTAGGGGAAGTGGGTCAGTTGTCTTCAAGTCAAGGCCAGGAGTTTTGTTAGGAGAGGGGGATGTGCAGGTTCCCTCCACAACCCACGAAGGGCAATAATAAATAACATAAAATCCATGGCTTAGAAGTCAGGGTTAAGGAAAGCAGCCAGGTAGACAGCGCTGTACTGAAAAGGGCTGGGGGGCCCATCAAGGAGGCCCCCCAGAATCAGGCACTAACTAGTACAGGGAGTGGGGTGCTCGTGCCCCGCAGCAGGGAGCCCGGGTGCAGCTGGGATGGGGAAAGTGCATTGCCCTCCTCCACTGGACTAAGCTGCGGGGAGGAGGTGCAGGCAGAAGGTGCGCAGACAAGCTTGAACCCCACAGCAGATGTCACGGAGATTTCCACCGCCCCCGCTGTTGGAGGGTCTTCTGCAGAGGCGGGGGGTGGCTGGGGGGCCCCCTCCTCGCTCCTAGGGGCAATGATCACCCCCCTGGCTGCCACCACAGCCCCGTCCACGACTGCAGCCACCACGGACACAGGCTCTGGGGTGACCTCCACCTTGGGGGAGGGGGGGGACAAGACAGGCCTGGGCGGTGGAGGTGGGGGCGGGGGCGGGGGCAGTGGGTCAGCGGGGGTTCCAGGCAGAAGGGGCAGCAGGGCGCTGAGGGCCTCGCTCAGTTGGGCTAGTCCCTGGCGAAGGGTGCCGGCCAGCTCCCGGATGGCGTTGGCAGTCTCCTGCTGGGCCCGCAGGAAGTCCAGGGAGGGGTCTGGGGCCGAGGGTGGAGGCAGTGGAGGGGAGGGGGAGCTGGAAGGCGAGGGTGCCACTTGGACCTGCTGCGGTGGCTCGGGGGG